CCTGCTCCTCTCCGGCAGGGCTCATGTTCAGTCTGTCTCATTCCACACATGAGGGCGGAAATTGCAGAGGTGTCTGCCCCTAAGCCAGTAGAGAACATGAACCCTGGGAGCACAGCTGCCCAAGGTCCTCCCCAGGGTCTCCTCCCCCGTTCTAGATTCAGAATCACTGAAGACCAAAAGGCTCCTTGAGAATCAATACCTCATATTATCAAAAGGCTTTTGGTTCAGTTTTAATTGGCAGAGTTGATTGTAGCCTAAGAGGTCCTGCAAGGTTTCAAGAGAGGAGACATTACCGCGTAACTTGATTACAACAAATACAATCTTTATGACGTTCTTTACTTTCTGTATTATAATGACATGAAAAGACTTTTTTATTCTACCTACACACAGCTCAAGACGAAGGTGTAACTTCTGGAACTGAAGAACTGATGGTACGGAGAAAGGGAAGGTTCAACAAGGAAATAAGCGAAATAAGCTTTGCTATGTGTATACACAAAGACATATATACACAACCCTTCCCCCCCCCTTGTATACTATACAGGTTGGCACACACTTTATTAAGAACATAATATAAGGGTTTCAGGATTTAAATTATCCTTGGCATTTTAATTTGATGGGTGCTTAGGCAATCTAGGTCTTGACATAGCTGAATCAATTGTACATTTAAAGTATATAATTGTGTTTTTAAAAAGGCCCAGACCAACTTTCCTTAAACAGTAACCCAAGATAATACCATAGCTACTGAATGGAAAACTAGATTGTTATTTTGTATTAAATCAGTAAAGAGTATTTTAGATAAAGGGCAACTTGGAAAATAAAGACCTCAGCGTCCATTATTCCAAGTCAGGAGCATTTTAGGTATTAGCAGTGGTTACCAATAAGCTGAAGGTAAATCTCTTCAAGGGACTGCTCATAACCTGCTCGGCTGAGAAGAGGTGAGGAACTGTTTCACAATTCCACTATAAGATGATGCATGTTTTTTTATCCTTGAAAGGGTTTTCTGAAGTCGGTATTCCTATCAGCAAAGGATCACTCCTGGCGTGCTCCTCGCAGTAGGACATGAGGTCTGCTGATGCCTTTGAAACCTGGCACGGAGATAAACCAAAGCAAACACATGAGAAAATACTTCATTTACAGACTTCAAGAATGTATTTAAATGCTAAGCCATGGGGTGGAAGACTGCTTTGCACGGGATCATCAGCGTCTCAGAGCATCACACTCAAGTTACTCGTCAGGTGAAAAGGGCAATGGTACATTTAAAATGGGGTATTCTGGCAGGGAAGGCCTTCCGTAACCAAGTGATCAGACTTATCAATGACCAAACTGGATTCACGTATCTCCTCGGGTATGTAGAGGAGCACATCACCAGCCACCAGCCAGCACTCCTGCCCAAACATTTCGCAGGAACGTAACTGGCAAACAATCTCCTCCAAAGTGAGGATGATTCTGCAGATTCTGCGAAAGTGGACTGTGTGTCAGATACTGTTCTTGGGGAATCCTGAACCGCAAATAACTTTGAAATATTTTACAGAAGAAAAGAACAAGGGTTTTGTGTGTAGTGTCCAATAGAAAGAGAGAGAGAAAGAAAGCAAACGGAGCTGACTGCTAACCAGTGATGGACTTTGGCACAGAGTATATATCTGTCAGTAACATTTTTCCAAATAAAAAGATGGGGGATAGGCAAGAAAAAGTGTATGCGAACCAAGGGAAGTTTATATCTCAGTTTCTATTCAAAAGCAAAACAGACTGGAATGCAGAACAGCATTGAAAAACTGAATTGGAGCCAAAACGTGGAGCCAAGTGGTGGTGCTTCAAGATTTACTGTTGGAGACTGGGCTTGGGGAAATAAAAAGAAGAAACAAAACCAGCAAGGGAAGGTACAGCACCTTGCTTGGGCATGAGTTAAAAAATGGAAAAGACCCTCATGCCCTGCTTCAGAATGCTGGTGGGGGAGACCCCGCAGAGTAATCAGATCCGTGTCCTA